GCAAGTTCTAGAACCCCTTTTAGGTAGTCCAATCAGTTATAGGCTGAAGATGGGCTTACAAGCTTTCTGTAATCATGTTTCCCAACATTCCTTTCTATCCAACTTAAGTGTCCATTTTACAATAGTAGGCAAGGGAAACTAATGTACATAAGACACTCAAGCATCTTAGAATTATTTCCCCTCTTCAAACTACGCCCTGATCCCTGTATCACAGAGCCCTGTTGTTCTAAGGTTGAGCATGCATCACCATTTACCTCTGCCCCACTTAGGCCATGTAAACCTGTCTACATGTTTCCATATCTACCTTGTTCTTCCACCCACCCCCTTCTTGTGTATTGCCCTCCCCAACACCTGAACTCTGATGTGTCTGCCCCTACCCTGTGCTCTACCATAGCTTCCCTCCACCTCCCCCAACCCCCCCACCAGAACATTTCTTTTTCAGATATTTAATGGTTTTCTTTTTGTCCCCTCTTTTAGGAAAGAATGCCATAACGTAGAAGCAGAAAAGTTGGTAAAGTAAGTCACATCGCTGTTGGTGACACTTTATTATGGTTGAGACAAACTGTTGTATATATACACATATTATTAAAGGATGAGACATATACATTTTATAAGAGTTCTATCAGAACTCATTAATGCATACTGTTGTTGTTGTTGTTATGTGCCGTCGAGTCGGTTCCGACCCATAGCGACCCTGTACAGGGTTTCCGAGGGTGTAAATCTTTACAGGAGTAGAAAGCCTCATCTTTCTCCTGCAGAGCAGCTGGTAGTTTCGAACCGCTGACCTTAAGGTTCGCAGCCCGATTCGTAACCACTACGCTACCAGAGCTCCTTAATGCATACTAGGTATTGTATATTCATTCCAATGAAATTCAAAACTATTGGAAGCTCATTTTGGAATGACCTTCTGCATCAGAAAATCACCTGAAAATAGTCACAACTTCAAATGAGTAAACTTCAAATGCCAAGAGAATATCACAGTTTCAAAATGTTCTGAATAAAAGGAACTTCATATTTTTACTCAGTGACTACTTCCGGAAGTTGATTTATAGCACTGTCTGTTGTAAATAAATGCATGCATTTTATAAATAGACAGTGACAGAAGACTAAGCGCTTCCAGGATCCATATCTGTTCTAGTATTGTGTTTCTAATACAGAGCCACACAAATAACAGACATTGAGTAAGTGTCTGATGATAGGCATTTGAACAATGAACAATAAATGAAGACCCTAATTTTGCTTACATGATGCTGTTTAAATGCTGTTGAGTTTTTGCTCACATGGACTCTGAATAAGAATTTACCCATCCACTCCTCCCCTGAAATGAACAACAGAGACCAGTTCATAGTCTACTCCCCTTTCCAGGTTTTGATGGCCACACCTGCCTCATAATATAAAGAGAATGCCTTAAAAAAAAAAAAAAAAAAAAGTTTATAAAATGCCTGTCAAAAACAAATTATTTTTTCACTACTTATCATGGATTGTAGAAATATGAAGGGTGTGGAGCTGGAGGATAAGCACTGGACTGCTAAAAGCAAAATCAGCGGTTCAAACAGGGTCACTATGAATTGGAACTGACTCAATGGCACTTCACAACAACAATATTACAAAAATCACAGTAAGACAAAAGATAGGATGTCTTAGAATTAACAAGCTCTTTCATATTAGGATGCAAACGTGTAGAACACACAAATGGGCCTGCACAGGAAAGGAAAAGGTTGAGAAAGTATTTCCATAGAACTCTTCTATAACAACATGCAGATTCCTTTAAGAAAGTTGTCTTTTATAAGCCTTGTCTTACTGACTCACTTAAACCACAAAGTAGTTGCTTGAACAAGAACAAAATAATACCATGATGTACACGCATTGCCTTAATTGTATGTGGTTTAAAAACTTCCTGTCATTTACTACACACTTTCTAGCAATCATAAATATACTTAGAATCCTCCTCCTTCGTCCACACCTGTCATAATCTCAACCTTCATGCTTTTAGTCACTACTAAGAATAATATTAAATGCTTCTGATCATACTATTGCTCATTTGAAGGAGGTGGAGGAAGACGATGGTAGAAGAGAGGGCATACTGTAATCTTCTAAAAGATCTGTTATTAGGATAAACTTTTGAACTGATTCCCTAATACTCAGCTTGGCTCTGTCACGTACACCACAGCTAATCCACAGTTATCTTTAGTGGGAATATAAACTTGTGGTGCCTCTACAGGGAGCAATTTCTAACACTATCAAGATGGTAAATGTATATGTCCTGTTAGTGTGGATTTTCTCTTTGGGAATCTTTTCTATAAATATGCATATATATTCATGCACAATGGCATATGTGTAAGGTTAGTCATGCAGCATTACTTATCAAAATATTAGAAACATATTAAATGGTTACCACTAGGGGACTCGTTGATAAAGGGGTAACCCCTTATCAGTGGACAGTAAATGTAACAGTAAGGTGTGAGGATATTCTTGATGTATCAATGTGGTTTTTGTTAGGTGCCATGGCGTTGCTTCTGATTCATAGGGACACCGTGTAGGGTTTCGGAAGCTGTAAATCTTCACGGGAGCAGAAAGATTAAGAAAAAGAACTCACCCTAAAAGGTGGGGAAAAATCTTTGCTGATCACCGAGATGTACAGGGTGGGGTGAGGGGAGGGAGCAGAAGGTGGAGCACAGGGTAGGGAATAAACACAGGATAGCTGGGGTGCTGGGGGCAATACACAAGAAGGGGGAGGGAAATGGAAGAACAAGGCAGATGGGAGAACAGTTAAGCAGGTCTGTATGGGCTAAGTGGGACAGAAGTAAATAATGATGTATGCACAACCTTGGAACAACAGGGCTCTAGGATACAGGGTTTGAGGCATGGTTTGAATGGGTAAAAGAGGAAAAATAATGTTAAGATGCTTGGTTGTCTTTTGAATCTTGGTTTCCCTTGCCTACCATTGAAAAATAGATACTGGAGGGGTAGAGAAAGGAATAGCCAGAAACATCACCATAAAAAGCTTGTAAGTCTGTCTTCAGCATATAACTGATTGGAATACCTAAAAGGGGGCTAGAAATTGCCCAGTGAAAGAGGCTTCCTGTGGAGCCTCTGCATTACATCAGACCATAGGTGGAATCCTGAACCCCATCCCGAATCTTCTCAGGTGGGAAATTTCCACTGGAAAGGACAAGCAGACCAGTCTGGAGTGGCTAGAAGAACAGAAGATACTTATTGAAAGAAAGACTGACAGGAAAAATCAAAACAATAATGTCAGTCTGACTGACTACTACAAGAACAAGTAAGACATTTGCCTGGGAACCATCAAGGCAAGTGGTCAGGTCCCCTCAGAGCAAACCTCCTTCAAAACTAAGACTCAAGGGGAATACATGAGCAGGCATGTGGTCTGGCTGGTGGTCACCTATAGGGGAATTGGGGGGGAAACAACAATGAAATTAAGAGCTAAGTCCAACCACATTCAATGGACTCCTGTTAACCCGGGTTGAGACCTGGTTGGCCAGCAGTTTGGCAAGACCTAGGGAATCTTGGGCCCAGAGACAGTGATATGACCACAGAGGACTAGAACGGAGAGTGAAGCATCCAGCTGATATGAAGTGAGGAGAGATGCACAAGAACACCCATACTTGCAGATAGTACCCATCTGACCTGGCTTCAATGGCTGGATGATCAGAACTTGACTACAAGAAGAAAGAAGAGGGGAAAAAAGAGTACTTTGCTACAATTTGATGAAATTGACCTATACTTATGGATGTAGTAGCTCAAAAGAGGGAACAAATCTTTACAGCAAGGGTCATTGCCACCCCCTCCATACAAAGGGTTGTCAAGGATGGGCAACTTAGACATTGGCTATCCAAAATGGGGGGCTACACAGGCAAGAAATGACTGGCTTACAAGCTTTCAAGAGGGAGCCTAGTTCCAGAAGGTACAGGGGTAGGTAGAATCTCCACTGAATGGTTTCCAATCTGCTGGAATGGGGCTAATGAAAGGAGATGGGGTTAAGACTCTTGTGGTATAATAATGAATAATTGCTACCATGACTGACTGACGGTCGGAAATGTACAGGTAGACATTTTGTAGAAAAAGGAAGGGAGTGGTTGATCTTGTAGTCCAGGAGCGGATGTCCCTGGGCCCATCAAGGGAGAAGAGCAGAGAGTGGGACCCTACCCAGAGAAACAGTGATGCCAGAGATGAAGGCAGAGACAATGACATGGAGAGATGGAGTGGCTGGGGACTCTAGACTCAGGGAGGGAGAGGGGCTGTGTGCTGATGGCTGGAGGGCAGGCTTCCATGATGTACCTTTTGGTTGTTTGATGATGCATGGAGGAGACTGTAATTACTGCAATGAAATGAAATATGATAGGGTGAACGTATAGCTGATGTTCTCCCATGTAAACTATCACATAATTCACAATAAAATTTTTTTTAAAAAATTAAAAGATCTTGAATTTTGTTCTTACTTTCCTTCTACCATCTTTCTACCAATAAAATATTTTATATGATTTTAATGATGACCATTTGACATTTGAATGTGTAGGCACAGAATATACAGAAAGTGAATTAAAAAAAAAAATTATGTTTTACTGACCATGTGATTCTTTCAATTTGCTGCTGCGCTGGGTTCTTGCATAAAGTACCACCTGCTGGACAATTTCCAGTTGCTCTTCAATTCGAGGGAAATGAAAATCAGTGCATTCCTGGCAAACTGTGGCAAAATCTAAGAGACACAAAACATTCATAAATTTCTAAATGTGAACTATCAAATATTTAGAATTTGTTTATAAATAATGAGATCTAATAGAAATAGAAAATAAAACTCATAGTGCCATTTCTTACATTTGCCCTTTCAATCATCATGCCTTATTAAATTAAGGGTATAAAAATTTTGTCTTGTTAAAAACTTAGCCTCTCAATCATTCCAAAAAGTTACAGACAAATGAAATTTTAACATAACTACATTGCTTTGTAATAGATATATTTTGATCATAAGCTGGTACCAAAACCTATAAAAAAAATACAGGGAGCTTCTTATACATTTATGATAGGACATAAAGTTGTATTCAAAACTCCTTTTAAAAACAGTTATACATTTCAATATTAATTTACATATCCATACACTTAAAAATAATCATAAAAAGCAAGTTGTAATAAGAGGGAAGGTAGAACTTTACCTAGTACATTTAAAAGGTAGGTTATAGTACATCTAAGAGGTAGATTTTTTTTTTTAATATGGCAAAGTGGATGAACTAAAATTTCCTGAATCTGAATCTTCTTCTGAATTGAAAAATACATATATTCTACTTATTCTTTTTGGTATACCTTGGAACAAGGATCGTCTAAGAGCATTATTTGCAAATAGTAGAATTTTAAGGAATACTTATTATTTAACAATTGTTGTTGTCAGGTGCCGTTGCGTCGATTTCAACACATGGTAACCCTGTACAAGGTTTCCAAGGAGCAGCTGGTGAGCTTGAACTGCCGACCTTGCAGTTCAAATGGCTTTGCGGTCTGGTGCATTAACCCACAGTGCCATACCAGAAAGATGAGGCTTTCTGCTCCTGTCAAGATTACAGCCTCGGAAACCCTGTACAGGGTCACTATGAGTCGGAACCGACTCCACAGCACATAACAACAACAACAATTATCATGAAGTACTTTACAAATGCTAAAGTATAACATAAATCTAAAATAGCTACTGAGTATGTATGTTCCTTGATCTCCTTGAATACTGATGTGATTAAAACATTTTTTTGTTTCTATAATTCATTTCTTTGTAAGAGTAGGATTAAAAGGAAACATTTAATAAAATAAATATTGATATTGTTAACTGACCTCTTTTAATTCCACTATATGAATTGATTCGATTATCTACTAGTAGAACCAGGCCACAGAGAGACGTGGAATAAAGTGACAGCGCTGTTTGGAGTCGATGGAGTTTCCCACCACTTCGCTGACTTCGTTTATGCTTACAGAAGTCTAGCATATCGGCTCTCAGCAATCTCAAATTGTGCATGGTCTTCAACTGGGCTCCTAGAGGAGGGGAAGAGTCCCAAAAAGATACTCAGACAGCTGCAAAAATCTAGTGAAACAAGATGGCAATCTGCATGCAACACTCCAGAATAAATGCTGTGCTATAAATATGGCTTAAAAATGGACCTTGTAAGTTCCTGTTTTAACAGTTACTCATATATAACTCTGCTATTTTAAAAAAATAATTCATAAGCTCACACAGACAAGCTATAGCCAACCCTTTCCTGGAGCAGGAAACAACTTGGAATGCAAACTAACACTGATCCATTCTACTCCCAGGTTAGGGATTTTTCTCTTACAGCACACAAAAAGTACCAAAAATTATAGTATATTATAGTAAATTATCATTTTAATAATGGATCCACTTACCTAAGTGAATGGTAAAGCTTTCTTCTAACTTTCTCTGTTCCTCATAAATCCTCCCATTGACTTCTACAGATTCTTGGAACTGACTTGGTTGAACTTTAATTTCTTCACTGAAATTCATAAACATTACTGATATGATTTGTTTGTATGTTTGTCAAGACATTTTTTGTAATGAAAATAAAATGAGAGAAAAGTAAACAGCTGAAAGAAAGACGTAATTTATTCCTAAACAATCCTAGTGCATAATCCTATAGCATAAGCACAGGATTGCTCATGGCAACATTGGAGGCTCAAACCCATCTGCTGCTTCTTGGAAACCCTATACAGGGTTGCTATGAGTCAGACGTATCCTTAATCCATAGTGACAAGACCATACACATCACAGTTCTAAAATTCCCACTGTTCTTTCTTGTTGTTGCTGTTAAGGGCTGTTGAGTTGGTTTCGACTCATAGTGACCCTGTACAGGGTTTCCAAAGAGCAACTGGTGAATTTGAACTGGTGACCTGTGGTTCACAGTCCAACGCTGATCCTACAGTGCCACACCAATAGTCCTTCATAGAAAGTCAAGTCATGCATATTATTCATTCAGCCACTAAATAGTAATTCATATACTACTATTTAATATTTCCTAATGACCTAAGTCAGAAACAACTCCACAGCATTTAGCAAAGTTTATCTCCACAGTTCTTTTTGACGCTACTGAGTCAGTTCTGACTCAGAGTGACCTTGTAAGGGGTTTCTGAGGCTGTAAATCTTCACAGTGGCAGAAAGCCTCATATTTGAACTGCTGACCTTGCGGTTAGCAATCTAATGTGTAACCACTATGCTACCAAGGCTCCTCTTTTTTCTTGTATTTCTTATTTTAGTCTCTTAACTTCAAATGCTACTCATTTTGTGCTTTTTAAAAAGAACTAATATTTTTCCAAGTAACGAATGAAGTAAAAAATCAAGGTTTCAGATTAAATATGCAACTAAATTTCAGTTCTAGGATGCTAGAAAATTGCTTTGCTACTTATAAGCATCTTTCAATTTGCAGAAAACATTTCCGTTTTTACATACTATGTATCCATAATAATGCAAATAGCTTGAGATTGTCTACATTTTATTTAGTATTCCCCCCCCCCCTGTTAATTTGGGCATGCTCCATAGTACTGGCAGTAAGTAGTAAGCCATTTTAGCTTACAGCATTTAGAAACAAATCACTTCAGAGAACTAAAAATCAATATCCTTGGCTTTTCTTGGGTATAGTTGAGAAAATTAAGAGGTCAGTTAAAAAAAAAATGTGTGTGCTTTTCATTTGAAATACAGTGAAACCTTGACTATTCAACTGAAATGCAATGGCAGGTGTTCTGATAATGCCCAAATTATTAACCAGATAATACCTAGATGCTTATGTGTCCCTTGATCCTTTAGTTTTGCTATTAATTTTACAAACCACTTCCATTTAAATAGCCTTATTCTATCAATTACATTATTTTTGTCAAGCCCGAGCTTACTGTAACAGTGAATCTGATGTAACAATGTATGATGTGCTACAAATTGTATTCATAATAAACTGAGTTATAGCCTAATGTAAACTATAACACATTTCTTGTCAACTGCCTAATTTATCTTTTCATTTATGTACAGTTTTTTTTATTGTGAATTTTGTGATAATTTACATGGAAGAACATTAGCTTTACATTCATCCTATTATATACCATTACATTGCCATGGTTACAATCTCCTCCATGCATGTATATACCCTGCAAGCCTGCCCCCACCCCCGGCCATCAGCACACAGTCCCTCTTGCTCTCTGGGTCTAGAGTCCCCAGCCGCTCCATCTCTCCATGTCATCGTCTATGCCTTCATCTTTGCCATCACTGTTTCACTGGGTAGGGGTCCCATACTCCACTGGTCTCCCTTGAGGAGGACCTCCTGGGGACCTCTGCTCCTGTATTGTATAGTCAATTCCTCCCCTCCTTTTGCTACAAAACATCTACCTTTACATTTCCAATCCTCACAGTCAGTCCTAATAACAATTATTCACTATTGTACTACAAGAGACCTATCCCCATATCCTTTCATCAGCCCCACCCAGACAGACTGGATACTACTCAGTGGAGATTCTACCTTCCTCCGCACCCTCTGGATCTAGGCTCCCTCTTGAAAGCTTGTAAGCCAGTCACTTCTTACCTTTGTAGTGCCCCCCACCCCCCATTTTGGGTAGCCAATGCCCAAGTTGCCCATCCCTGTCAATTCCATGTATGAAGGGGGTGGGAATGATCCTCACTGTAAAGATTTGTTCCCTTTTTTGAGCTACTGCATCCATAGGTGTAGGTCAAGGTCACCAAATTGTATCGATTACTCTTTTTTCCCTCTTCTTTCTTCTTCTAGTTGTCATTTTATGTACAGTTTCTTATGTAAAAACTTTAAATACTTGTTGGAACCTGTTCTGTATAAACATTCTTATGCCATTTTCTTTAATGCTTGCATGAAAGAAACTTGGATTTCATTTGCTTATTTGTATTGTATGGCCATTAAACCTTCTTCACTCTAGTTTAATTTTTTGTAATTTTGTTTATATTCTAGATAATACTACACCCATGCTTTTTAGTTCCTACTTTCCAACTAAATTCTCTAAATTAAAAAAAACAAATCACATTAAATTAAAAAAACAAAAAAACCACATCCTATACTAGGTGTCCTGGTGTGGTGCTGTAGGAACAGCACTGGGCTGCTAACCAAAAGATCAATGGTTCAAATCCACCAGCCACTCCTTGGAAACCCTATACAGGGACACTATGAGTCAGAACCGACTTAATGGTACATAACAACAGCAACAACAAATAATAACAACAGTACAAAACTTTAGGCAAAACCATAAAATAGGCGAAGGGCCAACTTAAAATTTTTTTAAAGTATCCACAACCTCTATTTTTTATCATCCCACCCTCCAGCCCTGCCCTCCAGCCCAATATTTTCCTCTCATTAAAGAATCTTGCTTTTTGCTCTGCTGTCATGCTCTAGTCCCTGAGAAGGTTTCCGAGGAGATGGCCAGAACTTCACAATGGCTCAATTCCAATTTCATGGTATACTACAGATATATTAAAGATGATAAAAATCTACAATAGTCATCCATCCGTTGACTTCAAATTTTGAAGGTTAGTCCAAACAATCTCATTAGCCTCATCAATTGTCTTCATCAGAAAATACGGTAAATTTAAACTTAAAGTAAAACATACATTAATAAAAGACCACCTTAGGGTGTAGAAAGCTGCAAAAGAATATTGTTTCCACCCTAACAGGAAGAATAAGTCAAAAAATCTACAAAATCTTAAATTTTCTTAAGCCCACTAGAGATCTGAGGTGACAAAGTAACCAAGTAAACTGAATTCCAAAGTTAAAAACCCTTGAAGAAGAGACAAGAAGCCTTGGCAGCTCTGTGGGTTGAGTGTTGGCCTGCTAACTACAAGGTCAGCAGTGCAAACCCACCAGCCGCACTGAGAGAGAAAGATGAGGCTGCCTGCTCCTGTAAAGATTTACAATTTTGGAAACCCTCAAAAGCAGTTCTGCTCTAGCCTACAGGGTCATTGTAAGTCATAGAGCATATGAACAGTCTCATCATTATCAGTGCCTGAAAGAAATCGGTGTGTACCACCTAGTTGATTCTAACGTATAGTAAACCTGTATGACAGAGTACAACTGCCCCATGAAGTTTCGAGGCTATAATTTTTATGGGAGCCGATCACCAGGTCATTTTCCCCCAGGAGCTGCTGCTGGGTTTGGCTACCAGCTGAGCACTTAGTCATTGTGTCCCCAGAGCTCCTACCTGCATACTAGCCAAGGACAACTGGAAACTGAAATTAAGATCACAGTACCATTTATATAATAGCATCCTCCCAAAATTAAATACTTAAAATATGTATCTAGTAAGATATAGGCACTACATGTATGCTGAAAACTATAAAATATTAAAAGTTCAATATCAAAAGACTTAAATACATGGAGATGTATACCATGGATCGCTGGTGGTAGTGGTTGTGTCAAGTTGGTTTGACTCATAACGACCCTGTATAGAGTTTCCAAGGCTTTAAATCATTCCAGGAGCAGAAAGCGTAATCTCTCTCCCATGGAGTGATGGGTAGATTAGAATCGCTGACCTTGCAGTTTAATAGCCCTAGCAGAGCTCCTTAATCATGAACTAGGAGACTCAATATTGTTAAGGTTTCAAATTCCCTCTTGATAAAAAGATTGAATGCAATTGAAGTCAAAGCAACAACAGGCTTTTATTTTACTTTTTTTAGATAATGTTCAGCTGATTCTAAATTTATATTGAAAATCAGATGGCATAGTATGATCAAAACAATTTTGAAAATTAAAAACAAAGAGGACTCATATTATTTGATTTCAAGACTGAGTATTAAGCTAAAATAATCAAGACATTATTGACATAAGGACTGTGGAATAGTAAATCATTTAATACATCTGTTCTAGCCTTAGTGTTTGTAACTCCCCCGTACAACTGTTTTCCTCATGGGTCTGGGTGTAAGAAAGTGGCAGAAGATACTAATAGGATCATAGCATTCACTTGTAAGAGATTGTTACGAGGGGTTAATTGTAACAACTTGGAACTGTGGGTATAAAGTGAGCCATCTCAGAAGCAGGAAGGGGTATCTCACTTCCATTAAAGAAGAAGAAACAGGAGTAGATGACGTCCTTTGGGCCCTCTCCATTAAACCTCCTTGATTCAGGAGGTTTGTTGAACCTGGAAGTGTTGACAAGAATGTGGACATTCTAGAACCCTCCTAACATTGCTTGTGGAAAAGGAAAATTGTACAGCCATTTTATTTATGTTCCAGTATCAAGAGCTAAGCATGTGGCAAGAAGCTGGGCATAATAAAACAGTGGATAAAGAGATATGATCTTGCCTGCAAGATGAAATTAGTCGGGGAGACTGATATAATATAAATAAAGTGCTATTTCTAAATGTTTATAGCATGCACTAGTAAATTCTGGAAGTAGTATTATTATACTGTACTCAGTATATTTCCAACTGAGTATAGTTTAAGATTTGAAAGAATAAAGAAATCTCAAATATATGGATATGTTGTTGTTGTTGTTAAGTGCCGTCGAGTCGCTTCCAACCCATAGCGACCCTGTACAGGGTTTCCGAGGCTGTAAATCTTTACGGGAGCAGAATGCCTCATCTTTCTCCTGCAGAACAGCTGGTAGTTTCGAACTGCTGACCTTAAGGCTCGCAGCCCGCTACCAGAGCTCCTTAAATATATGGGTATACAACTGTGAAATTATTTGCACTAAAACTAAAAAGGAACACATTTAGCACAAAGGATACCAAATAAATTATGAATTATGAAAGTCCTACATACTATTTCTGTACCTTGTATACACTTCTATTATTTCAAATATCACTCTATACAGTTCTTATTTATTTTTTATTACAGCTTATTCTCTATTTCTAAAAAATAAGTTCCACAAAGGCAGGCATCTTTCATTGCTTCCTGCTTAATGCTTGGTAATCAGCAAGGATTGAAGCAACGTTTACTGCACTGACCAGAAACCAATTTAAAGAAATAGGAGATAGCATTCAATGTATTTAGCTATATACTTCTAAAAATATTTTTACAGCTAAATTCTAGGGGAAAAAAATCACTAACCCAAACCAACCAAGCCTCACCTTCCCAAAATAGTTTAAATAAAGCCTGTAACACAAGAGGCATTAAAAGAGCCATAAAATTACCTTGAATTTTTATCAGCAACTTAACAATTCCTGCAATTAAAAAGGTTCAGTCTGCAATAAACACAAACTATTACTAAAAATGTCTTTTGTATCAGATGAACAGTATATGATTAATACCTGAGGGAGCTGTTGTTGGGGTTTTTCAGGTCTTGATGAAGCTTTATCACCCATTCCTGATACTCTTGCTTTTGGATGGCAGTTGATTGTTTTAATTCATTTGTCCATTTATTCTCTAAGGCCTAGAAATAGTATGCCAACTGGTTAGTTTAAAAATAAATGAGCAAAAGAAAAGGTAACTGTACTGCTAAAAATCATTGCATTTCACTTACTTGTTGGCATTCAAAATGTTGAGCAGCCAGTGAGTTTACATCTTGATCTGTCAATGATTTTCCTAATTCTTGCATCACTTTTTCCATTTCAATACCCTGTCTAAAATATAAAATGTTGTTAAGTGTCATTAGGTTGGTTCTAACTTAAACAGCATCCCTGTTTAGGATTTCTGAGGAGTGGCTGGTGGGTTTGAACCGCCGACCTTGCTGTTAGCAGGCCAGTGCTTATCCTGTAGTGCCACACCAGGTCCCCAAAATATAAAGTGTCATTGTTAAGTGCTGTCAATTGGTTCTGACTCACAGTGACTCTCTACAGGGTTACTGAGCAGCAGCTGGTGGGGTATATATGGCCACTTCAGATTCACTGAACAATCTCTGTTTTTGTTGTTGGCAGTTGTTGATTCCAACTCAAGGTGACCCCACGTGTGCAGAACAGAAAGAACCATGCCACAGGGCTTTCACAGCTGTGACTGTTCCGACAAATCACCAGTACTGTCTTCTGAGGTGCTCCTGGGTAGAGTCAAACCACCAATTTTGTTGCTACTGAACCCAGGAACCCCTTGAACAATCTCTACAAAGTGAAAATAACATTTTTCTTTTACAGGGACATGCTCAGGAGTGGGGACTACGATACCTGGAAAAAACTTTGGAAATAGAAATGGAACCAATGATGATAATGTCATATGGTACAAAAACATCACCTGTGCAGTCAATTCTAAACTAAACTTAATGCGTAAATGGAAGCTTTCAAAATATAAGGGGCTTTTAAATTACCGTGGCTAGTGTTTAGAAAGTCAGGCTCTTTTTCAGTCTGCAGATTTTCTCAAAAGAGATTTTCTGCAATTCCACCTTATTTTCTATTTATTTCTACATGAGCCAACAGGACTTCAACCTCTGAGCGTTAGTCTCTAGTATAACCATAAGCTGCCAATTAGGCTCTAAGAAAAAATGATTAAGTCACAAAGTTCCTTTTACAGTGGAATGCAAAAATACAATCTGAAGACACATTAATTATATCTTCTTCATTTATCCAAACAAAAAATGTATAGAAATTAAAGATGATTGTCCCTACTGGGAAAATGATGCTTTGATATTGAAAGTCTTTTTCTGTAGAAATGCTGTATTTTAAACAAATAAGTTAATACTTAAATGTCAAACTAAAAGTGATCTTCCAATATAAATGTTTACAAAAATTTTGTTCTTATACATATTTCAAACATGTTTGAAAAGAAGAAAACACAGACCTAACTAAAGGGAGTTCATGATCATTCCAGTTAAAGTAATTTTCTCTTAAACTTATATTTATTTACAGTAATTGATTAAGATGTGCTTCCAGAGTTCCTTTTAAGCTATTTATAGGTATATAATACTGAAACTCTTTCACACAGGATATACATTATAGTATTAAATAGCACTATTGTTTAATCCTCACTTAGTTCTTAGTTCTAATTCAGGTGATTCAGTTAACTATCTAATACCTACCACAGTCCTAGTGTACCGCAGTGGAATAAAGCACTGGATCACAAGGTCCTTGAATCACAAGGTCGGAGGTTCAAATTTACCAGCCGCTCCTTGGAAACCCTACGCAGGGTCTCTATGAGTTGCACTAACTCAACGGCACTTAACAACAACAACAACAGTTCAGGCGAGTATTATGGTTACAAGTAAAATTTTTTGTTCAGAAGCAGAAATAGCTGCTAAATATAATACAAATTTAGCTATAAATATGTATTAATATTTTACATTCCACATGTTCCCTCTAGTGGATAAAAGATAGCATTGCTATTTTTAAAGCTTAAAGAAATACACTGAATTTGGTTTGCTCAAAAAAAACAACACATTTCCAGTGATGGCGGAAAAAGAAACCTTCAATACATAGGAATTTAATAAACAAAACTTAATTGACATTTATACATTTATGTCACCCAAATGCAAGTTAATAAATGATAGAGTTAATGATAAAATATATTTTCTTATGATTAAGATAAAAAGAATTTTTATTACATGTCAGATGAAATATTAAACACAGATTGGCTTAAAATATCAGACAACTCTGGCAACTTGAATGTTATACTGAAGAGACTTAAAGAAATACCAGGAAGAACATAGCTTATATTTTGTATTCATGTTAACAGTTTGAGCATATGAAAAATAAAGTACAAAATGGATTTTAAAATGATGTGTTCAAATATTATGTATAAGTTTAGAAAGAAACAAAAGAGCAAAGTCCCATTAAAAAGATAAAAAAAATTTGGCCAAAGGACATTTCAAAATACAAAATAACCATTACTAAAAAAATCATTGGTAAACAAAACCCTCTACAATAAGTATGTTGTTGTTGTTGTTGTGAAGTGCTGTCAAGTCGGTTCCGACTCATAGTGACCCTGTATAGGGTTTCCGAGGAGCGGCTGGTGAGCTTGAACTGCCAACCTTGCAGTTCTAACTGACCCTGCAGTCCAGCACACTAGCCCACAGCGTCACAATAGGGGTTATATAGGTAAATGCAAATGTGCAAATGATTGAAGTGTGACTCTATAGGACAAGCACTGGATGGCTACCTGAAAGTTGTCAGTGTCGGTTCAAGCCCACCAGCTGCTTCTTGGAAACCCAATACAGGGTTGCTATGGTTTGGAACCCACTTGATGGCACTTAACTAGAATAACAATAAATGCAAATGATCAGTAAGTCACTTCAGTTTCTCAAAAGGTGTAGAATCATGTAGAACTGTAATTATTTTCTGATTAAGGAAAATATTGCAGGAACATTGATACTTGAGAGATGAGATCGTTTTTTGGGAGATATGGTGAACAGGCAGTAAAGTTGTTAAGTGTTATCATGTCAGTTCCGACTCAAAGGGTTTCCAAAGCTGTAAATCTTTACTGGAACAGAAAGCCTCCTCTTTCTCTTTCAGAGTGGCTGATCTTGTGGTTAGCAGTCCAGTGCTTATCCTACAGAGCCACCAGGGCTTCAGGCTGTTATGTAGCTCACCATTTTAGAGTAGCTTACCAGCTGAATGAAAGCACTAGTAATAGCTGCTGATAGGAAGTGTAGATAGCCAAGATGGGAATTTATCAACGCAACTCAACAGACAGAATGTGTGCAGTCCCAGAAAACCTGAGGTCTAAGGAGCTCTGGTAGCATAGTGGTTACGAATCGGGCTGCGAACCGCAAGGTCAGCAGTTTGAAACTACCAGCTGTTCCACGGGAGAAAGATGAGGTTTTCTGCTCCCGTAAAGATTTACAGTCTCGGAAACCCTGTGCAGGGTTGCTATGAGTCGGAACCGACTCCACGGCACATAACAACAAAAGCAGATTCAGAATGAGTTTCAAGCCAAACTATTTGGATCTTGGGTAGGAAAAAAACAGGGACTTTTGGTAAAATGGTGGTACATGAACCCCCTACAATAAAAATACGAGAGATTAAATAAAACAGACGCAGATGAAAACCCTGGAACCCTGAATATCAGAAGAAAGGTTAGAGAAGTATATTGAGTGCTTGCTGGAGGAGAAGCTGAGCAGGGACAGTGAGAGAGGGAGACTGGTGAATGGCCAGACAGCTGCGGTGAGACCATCTTCGTGAGCAGCTATGGGCAGAGCAGAGTCTCACAGGTGACTGCATAGGTACAATTCCATCTTTTTCCCCCATGCTTTCCTGGGGACTCCTGCTGAGGCGCTGTAGGATCAGCAATGGACTGCAAACCACAAGGTCAGCAGTTCAAACTACCAGGAGCTCCTGGGAAACACTTGTTGTTGTTGTTAAGTACCGTGGAGTCGGTTCAGACTCATAGTGACCCTGCACAGGGTTTCCGAGGCTATAAATATTTATGGGAGCAGAACGCCTCATCTTTCTCCCACAGAACCGCTGGTAGTTTCGAACTGCTGACCTTGAGGTTAGCAGCCCGACTCGTAACCACTAACACTATCGAGGGTTTAACAACAACCACCCCTGGTAACCAGAGGTGTGGCCAGCTCCCACTCTCATCGACCCCAGCAGAGCTCCTGCTCTCTTCTGGGAGTTTGGAGCCATGAAGTTGGGAGTCACGCCAATGTGAGGCAGGGGCTTGGCTGTACCACTTCGGTGAACCGTTTTGGTACCTGGATTCAGGTGGGTGTGGCTTAGGGCCTATAGCACCCACAGAGTCACCAGACCAGCATTTAACCAGTCACCCTGCCCCCAGCTGCCCTGTGGTCCTAACAGACATGGAAACTAGTTCCCTCAAGGGCCTCCATGAATTCTTTTCTGATTGAGTACCCTGAACACAGACAACACTGAGGCTGATAGGAACTCCATCTAGGGCCAGGAACTCTGCTGTCACGTCCCTCCCACACTCACCTCTTGAGATCCTTGGCAGGAACCCCCAGTTTTCTCTTCTCTGGGTCCAACAGCTGCACTGTTTTTTTGTTTGTTTCGGGGTTTGGTTCATTCATTTTGTTGTCTCATCATTTTTGTTTATTCTTTCCTTGAATTTTGTGCTTTCTATCTCTACTTTTTTCCTTCTTTTTGTCTGTCTTTGATTTCCTCTCTTCTTTCCCATTTTTTCTTTGATCTTTCTTTACTACTTTTACTCTCTTTGGCCTTTCATCTTCCCTCTCCCTGGTTTATCTAAGGGTTATTTTTACTTGTATTTCTTCCTTTTATTTTCTGTTCTATAGCTGCATTTTCTTACACCTCTATTCTCTTTTTATTATATTCTTTTTCTAGGTCCCTGTCGGTTGTCAGTTCTTTATTCTCTTTTGCTGTTCTCTCTTTTCATTGTTGCTTGCTTGCTTATTCTGTTTTGCTTCTTGGTGTGTGTGTGGTTGGAGATGGGAGGGCTCTCCTCTTTCCCATCCAACAGGAGGCAGCAACCATGTCTATATACAGACCAGCCACAAGTGGACACTCTGCAGCTCCATCCACAGGGCGAAAGTCAAGCCCAGTGCCTCTACCAAGTGATCAACAATACCAGCTACAACCATCCAAACTGGCCCTAAACTGAGGCTCACATATGGTGACCATGCTTCCATTCTCTAACTATACCTACAGGAGGCAGTTGGTGAGAGCCTAAGGACACATCAACATGCATCATCAATTAAATACAAATATGGAAACAACACAAT